ATCCCCATGACCGACAACTGTCGTATCGTATTGAAGTGGAAAATCTGAACAATGCCTCGCCGGCTACAGTGTCACGAGCGGGCATCATATACGTCAGTGCCAGTGATCTCGGTTGGGACCCCCTAGTACAGAGTTGGCTGGTGAAACGGCTCGATCTTGGGGCCCATCGTGAGCAGGAGAAGAGCATCATTGCTGGCTTCATCCAGAATTGGATTGCTGAACCGGACCTCTTCGACTGGTGGAGACGCAACATAACATGTGTCATGAGCATCAACGAAAACATCGTCATTGTTAACATGTTGAATATGATTTCTGCGATCTTGGCGCCTCATGTGGCGGCCAGCGAGGTGCTTACTCCTGACGCTTACAAGCGTATTGTTACGTACGCAGTGGCTTGGGCTTTCGGAGGCTTGTTGGAAACAGAAGGGCGGAAGCAGTTCCATGAGAAGCTACACTCGGTAAGTCTCCGGTGGCCGCATTCTCGAATGAAGTCATTGTGGTTTGTCCTATCAGATTCAGTCTGCCTGTGGTGACGGCGATGCGTTGCCACCTCTCGATGGTGACCAGACGGTATTCGAGTACGTCCCGAACCGAGAAGACCCCTCGAAGGCATATCCTTGGCTGTTGTGGAAACCTGAGGTGTGGAAGCCTCCAAAGAAACTGAACTTCAGCTCTTTGCTGATCCCGACACTTGATTCATGCCGTGCGGAGTTCATGATCAATATTATCTCCAATCTCGATCGCAGTCGTGCACCTCCCAATTTCCAGAGTGCACTGATGGTTGGTGCTAGCGGTACGGCTAAGACAAGCACAGCGATGATGTATGTGCAGGGCTTTTCACTGGACGAGAGACTCTCTAAGAGGATTAACTTCAGCAGCGCTACGACGCCTGAAGGCTTCCAGCGCACTATTGAGTCCGAGGTCGAGAGGAAGACCGGAAAGACCTTCTGCCCACCAGGGGGCAAGCCCATGACGATCTTCTTGGACGACATGAGCATGCCACTGGTGAACCAGTGGGGTGACCAGGTCACTCTTGAGCTTACTAGACAGCTTGTGGACATGGGTGGCTTCTATTTCCTCGACAAGGATAAGCGTGGCGACTTCAAGACGATCGAGAAGCTCAGCTACATTGGCGCTATGGGCCATCCAGGAGGTGGTAGGAATGACATACCTAATCGAACCAAGAGCAAGTTCTTCGCCTTCAACATGGTCTTGCCGAGTGTAGTCAGTGTTGACAACATTTACGGCAGTATCCTGAGGGCTCGATTCAATAGCAAATCTGGAGCTCCAGATAAAGTTGTGGCGATGACCGAGAAGCTTACAGTGGCCACCATCGATGTTTGGGACAAGATCAAACGTTCCCTCTTGCCC